ATGCCGGAAACTGGGGGCCACTGTGCACGTGTTTGTGGTGGACTGCAGCAACCGGGTGGAGATTTACAATTCTGTGGATCAGGTGAGAACCAGGCACAGGTGTCTGCATAGAACCGTGTGTATCTGTACGCTGGCAGTGAGCTGGGAAATTAAATGGTTTTCAGGGGATGCCTAGACACCAGCTGCTCAGTGTAGTTGCTGTGTGGCCGAAGGGAAACATAGAACTTCCTTGGTATTAAAATCCTCAGCTCTGGCCTCTGTGACTGTCATATTTTGAATCAAATTTGCTCTGATCAGAAGTTTGAGCAACGGCCCAGAGGAAATGAGAGCTCTCTTTCTTTCTTTCTGGTTTGTTTCTTTGGTTGGGTTTTTTTGAGACAGGGTTTCTCTGGCTGTCCTAGAACTTGCTTTGTAGACCAGGCTAGCCTCGAACTCACAGAGATCCTCCTGCCTCAGTGCTGGGATTGAAGGTGTGTGCCACCACCCCCAGCTACGACAGAAGATTTATCTGCAGAAAATTTTTCCTTCCTAACTTTTTTTTACATTTTTTCCTATTTCTTATTTCCTCTCTGAGTTTTTATTGGTTTGTGTATAATCTAGTCTTTTGTGGAAAACATACAGTTAATGACAGTTAAACATTTTGTTTATTTAGTGTCTGTGTGTAGATGTGTATGTGTGTGCATGAATGTGTGTGTATGTATATGTATATGTGTGTGCATGAATGTGTGTGAGTGTACACGTGTGCATGTTGGGGTGTGTGCACACCCCATAATGTGTATTTGGAATTCAGACAACAACTTTTGAAAGCAGGTTCTCTCCTTCTACAATATGGGTCCTGGGGTTGTTCGGTCTGGCAAATAAAAAAATGCCTTTACCCTCTCACCATCCCACTATAACCACTTTTTTAAAGAAAAAGTAAACATCTAGTGCTTACAATGAACCAAACCCTCTGATAAGCTGCCACCTTCTTTAATCTAATTTAACTTTAAAACCCACTAGCCTCTCATATATATCAATAAATAAATGCTTGAAAGGTTTGGCCCAGACAAAGTTCATGGCCATGGGCGGTAGAACCAAGATTAACACTCCAGAAATATTTTGTCAGAACTGAAGTATTAGTTTACCAGCACAAACATTAATTCTTGTTTATTTAAAATCTTAAATCTATAAGCTTTCATACTACCCAGGCTATACTGAGCACAAAATTAATAGGTTTTCACCAAAACGACTTAGCCTACCTAATGACAGCTATCCTTTTGTGTCATTGTTTGAGCCAGTTCTTTTATGTCTGAACTCTGAGAGACCTCATGCAGCGAAATAAAAATAACAAAAAACCCTAATCCCTAGACGGTATTGTGACCAAGCTGGCTGTCACCTAAGCCAATGAGCACAGACGGAAATTGCATCTTAAGTCTGTCCTTTACTCAGAGGGCTGGCAACCTGATCAGATGGCAAATTGATATCCTAGATATCTGTCTTCCCTGTCATCCCCAGCCTTCAGATTATACCGGCAGTGGTTGTGGAGCTCTGGAGCTCCGTCTTGCCTCTGATAGTCAGCCATGGTTTTGTGACTTGGATGCCTGTGTGTGTCTCATTGTCATCCCTTGCATCATTCCCTCCTTTACTGTGTTATTGGACTCAGGTGTTTCTTGAAATTGTTAAATCAACTTCGTTTCTACTGGTATCAACCTGGCACTCTTTTGGGGGCTTCTAGGCTAGGGGCAGGGAGTGGAGTGGTTAGATCAGAACACACAACCCATTAACAGCATGTAACTGCCAAGCTACAAATAATATGTACGTTATGGCTCCTTTTTACAAAGCAGAGCATATGTCCTTATAATGTTGAACAAAAAAGCGCCTCTAGCCATCTGAGCTCTGTCACTATTAGCCCCACGTCCTTGTGAGAGTTAACTGATCCTGTGTGCATTCTCCTCATTTTAAAAGGTAAAGAAAGAAGTGGGTGATGTTGAAATCGTGGTGAATAACGCCGGGGCGATATACCCAGCTGACCTACTTAGCACTAAGGATGAGGAGATTACTAAAACCTTCGAGGTCAACATCCTGGGGCATTTTTGGGTGAGTGAGTCAGAAACACTTCTGGCTGGTATGTGTCTGGCATCTCCTTGGGGCTGGAAACTTGTTCAGTGGGTGGGAAAATGTAAAGTTTTTTTGTTTTTTGTTTTTTGTTTTTGTTTTTGTTTTTGTTTTTAAGTCAGGAATGGTGCACTGTGTTTGAGTAGAGGAGCCACGGAGTCTCTGGCAGCAGGATGTTTTTGTTTTTGTTTTTGTTTTTAAGTCTGGAATGGTGCACTGTGTTTGAGTAGAGGAGCCACGGAGTCTCTGGCAGCAGGATTCAGAATTCAAGTGGGCATGGTACATTCAAATGAAAGCCATCTGCTTTGTTTTGCCAAACAGAATCTAACACAGACCCTGGCATGCGCTAGGTCTACAGAAAATATTTGTGGAGGCTTGCTGAGAGTTGTCTGTGTGCCTCTTTCCAGGGTTTTAGAGGGAATACATAACGTGTGCATCCATTTGTGGCCGAAAGGACATAGAAGTAACTAAACAGATGTGTGCAGGGGTTGGGGACACTTTGGGTGAGGCTCTGAGTACTTGACATTTCGACATGGCATTATCATCTATGAAGTTTATGGTTGAGAAGTTCACAATCAAGTTACCAAAAATAAAATAAAAATCTCAGAGTGTTTCAATAGGTTCACAGTTTAAAAATCTCATAATGTTTCCATGGGTTCACATTTTTGCATTGGTCTGCATTCATAGCTAATCTCAACCATATGAAGCCTATGGGCTATGGGTCGAACAAGCCTGCTAGATCTACCAAATGCTAGAATGTAGAAAGGTGAATTGGGGGATTTCTTAATATTGGTTGTTTGTGGGAAAATGAAGTGTGACTCTCAACCCTTTGGAGAGAGCAGTGCATATAGTTTTTCTTATATTAGTTATGACCTTTTTATTTTTATTAGATAAGAGAGGGAAAATGTAGTGATATTTTGTTTATGATCTAACAAATAAAGCTTGCCTGAAGATCAGAATGCAAAGCTAGACACACTAGTTAGCCATACAGGCCAGGCAGTGGTGGCATGCACCTTTAATCCCAGCACTCAGGAGACAGAGGCAGATGGATCTCTGTGAGTTCAAGGCCATCCTGGACTACATGAGACTGAATCTATCTAAAAGAGAAGCAGAGCTCACACAAAGGTGATCTCAGTACTTGGGATTCCAGACCTTTAATCCCTGCTCTAGAGAGGAATATACAACAGAAGGAGACAGGATCTCAGGGGCAGTTTGAATGAGTCTGAGCAGTGCAGTCTGGAGATGCAGTCTGAGGTTTGATGGATTGGCCCTTCCATCTGAGCATTGGTGGAAATCTCTCTAGTGGATGGCTGCTTTGCTTTTCTGATCTTCAGGCAAGCTTCATTTGTTAGATCATAAACAAAATATCAGCACAGGCCTCCATATTAGTGTAGCATCTGAAGCTAACCTGGATTTGAAGATCGTCCTTCCTTAGCCCCTTGTGTATGCTACCATCATGCCATCAGTCATCATGCCACTCACACTACACAGAGACCTTGTATATTAGTTATCTGATAATCAATAGTGAGTCATAGCTACAACAAAAGATAGTGGTTTAGAGGGACCAGGAATACTCATTATCTCCTCACAGATCTATAGGCTGGAGCTGGTTGGGCCTTTAGTTTAGCAGTCAGGACTCCAGGAATTTGCATAGACTTTGAAGGGTGGGTCTACAAAATTCTCATAACATTATTGATATTTCTTACTATACAGTGACATTTCTTTGGAAAACAAAAATAAATCCTGTGTTTCCCATTAACATAGTGTATCATATTCCCTGTTACAAGAAAGAGATTCGGGTCTGCTCGCTCTGCCCGGTGGCTGTGGACCAGGAGAGAACTCAGCTTGCGTTAGATAAGTAGGTTCCCATCCTTCTAACTGAAACCAAGAACTTGTAAAATGCCCAATTACCCTTCAGGGATGACATTTGTGGATTTATCCCTTGACAATATTGCTCACAGCTCAGCAATTCTGCGCTTGCTGAGCATGCACAGAGTCCTCTGGTTAATCCGTAGCACTATAAAAAAGGATAGTAATGTTGCTTAGATGGCATGTCCAGGAAGGAGCTTCTTAATTCCTTCTGAAGAGAAGAAGGGGACACACTGACACGGGTTCTTGGTACATGAGTGAAAGGACACAGCTCCCGGTGCTGTCCCAAGCTATCATGCGTATGCTCCCTTTCTGTCATGTGTATAGCAGGGACCACAGAGTCTCGAAAGTATTTCATTTCTAATGCCTCCATCTTAGCAGAAATGAGATGGCCTGATTTGGGATCTACCTAATGCCTGTGTCATTGCTTCTTTTCTTTTTCCATGGATCTTAAGATCATAAAAGCACTTCTCCCATCGATGCTAAGAAGAAACTCCGGCCACATTGTCACAGTGGCTTCAGTGTGTGGCCACGGAGTGATTCCTTATCTCATCCCATATTGGTAGGTACTAAACAATACCAGCTGTGCTATGCATTTTGGACTTTTGAAGGATTCTTAGTCTTCAGGCCCATGGTTTGGGAATTTGGGTGTAGAGAATTTACATGGAAGGTTAAGGTAACTTTTAAATGACTTTTAAAACAAGGAAACTGGCTCTAATTTTATTTTAAAATTTTTAGACTTCTGAAAATCCCCCCCATAGACTACATTTCCATTATATCCTGGGATGAGTGGATGTTGAGACAAGAAACACAACAGACTAGGAAACAAAACACACAGAAGCTAGAAGGTATACCTGTGGCCTGGGTGCATACATGTGTGAGAGAAAGAATACGAAATGGCTCAGCCTCACCAGGAGAAACAGACACTACACACCATGTCCAAGGGACACAGACACACTATCTGTGACAAATTCTGCCAATGGCATCTAATTTCCCTGCTTCTGCTATATAATAATCCCAGAAACAATTTTACCTAGATAATTGAATGCAGGGAATGCAAATGTTGTTCGTCAATTTGTTATTTCTTTATATGCACACTCAAAGCTAAATTTAACTACACACTCAACATTTTCTCACACTGAACATGGTCACAAATAAATTACACTTCAACATAGTTCAGGCTTCCATTACACAGAGAGAAAGAGACAGAGAGAGACAGAGAGACAGAGAAACAGAGAGAGACAGAGTCAGACAGGGAGAGAGAGAGAGAGAGAGAGAGAGAGAGAGAGAGAGAGAGAAAACTTTTAACACTGAATTTTTTGTCACCTGGAACAAAACAGCAATTACCACATATATAGATCCTTGTAGATAATAAATTACTATTCATATCCTATTTTATTGACTCCCCCAAACAGCCTTATATTTTATTATCAACATTTTATAATCAGAGAAACAAAAGAACATAGAACCTGATGTTAAAGATTGCACGTATAAATCCAATGACTCCAACACTGTCTTGAGTCCTTCAACTCCAAATACTCAATGAAATTAAGCTAATAAGACCACCAATGTCAAGAGAGAAGCCATCAACCCATTAATCAAGAAAGGAGAAATGTTCACAGTCCCACAAAAGTTTGCCAATATTGGTTTTAGAGTATTTTCAATGTCTTTTCTGGACTCATATTTTTAAAGATAAAAACAGTAATAAGCCAGTTGGTGGGCATGCCTTTAATCCCAGTACTTGGGAGGCAGAGGTGGGGGCTACAGTGCTAGTTCCAGGATATCCAGGGCTGTTACACAGAGAAACCCTGTCTTGAGAAATCCTGTCTCAAAGAAAGGAAGGAAGGAAGGAAGGAAGGAAGGAAGGAAGGAAGGAAGGAAGGAAGGAAAAAAACACCCAGTAATAAAACTGGATTAAGAAACATTTGTAAGGTTGACTGGACCATAGAAAAGGTCACATGTAGAATGGAAGACATTAAGCCTGTCTGTAAAGTGGTGGTTTTGCCATCCTTGCTAGTCACAAATTAGGAACAAGGCCCTGGGGTGTGGCAACGGTTGAGTATATGTACAGACCCCTGGGTTCAATCCCCTGAACCCTAAAAGAAAAAAGGTACTAGGCATGCTCAGAATCCTGCTTAATCACATAAGAAAATAAAACGAATGCTCATTTACCCTCTCAGAAAAACTGTAAGTAGTAGGTTGGGGGTCTTCTGGCCCTAAACAAATGAAGCTGTCGTCTCACAGGTAGCTGGGACTGTCCCCCAAATTTGCTGATGGCTGATTTTCTCTCACAGCTCAAGCAAGTTTGCTGCTGTTGGCTTTCACAGAGCACTGACTGCAGAACTTGAAACCTTAGGGAAAACTGGTATCAAAACCTCATGTCTGTGCCCTGTGTTCGTGAACACTGGCTTCACCAAAAACCCAAGTACAAGGTGAGGTGGGAATCAGCTGGGTCGACCTTTAAGCTGGAGCCCTCGAAGACAGTGATGTTTTGAGTAGGTCATAGGTACTTTTGTAGGTTACCTTTATGTAAGTAAACCCTAGCAGCTTTCTTACATGGGAGAGTGTGTCCCCTAGAGACCCTGGCAAGTGTTCAGCTTCCAGGAGTGCCCACCACTGTAGGGGAAGACACCATAGGGAAGAATAAGTTAGATTGGCACTAGTCCTGAAGCAACTGTAGCTGCTGACACAGCAGTGCAGGACTCTGGAATGTTCCCACTTGGGCTGCTGAACCCTGAATTTCTTCCACTGGAACTGACATTAAGGTGCTCATGTCAGATGTGGCTCTAAGTCTGGGTTGAAGACTCCACTGCAAAGTTAGGATGGGAAAAGACTGAGCCCCAATAATCCAAAAAGTATGGATTTCCATTGCCATGTGATGGTTTGCTAGTCCACAACACAGACATCCCAATCACACATGAGCCTTCAGAAACCTCAAACTGTCTCGGAGAATTAAGTTCTCACATTCACTCAGCCACACGTAGGCATGCTAACCTTGATGCGACATTTTAAACCCATTTTCATGCTTTGGTTTTTCTCTCATCATCTTCACTAGTGGACAAGACTCTCCACTGAGCACAGGTTATGAGCACTCCTCAATGAGACATGTGCACAACCTTTGGATCTAGGAAGCCATGCCACCAGATGCGGCACACACATATGCATACATGCTACACCACATATACAAAAAAAAAAAAAGCTGTAATTTATACAAATTTTAAGTCCCCATAAAACTGTAGGAGAAGCAAATCAGAGGCAAATCTTAATTGCTAAATGCCTCAAAACAATACAGCTCCACAGAATACCCACACACAGCCACAGAGCATTCTCTTTACATCTAACAGGCCTGGAGACATCACATGACTCATCCTACCCAACAGGCCTGGAGACATCACGTGATTCATCCTACACACATCCTTTTGTCATTGCCCCCCTCCTCTGTTCCTTCCCATCTTATACCTTGTCATGATTTAATTGTTTTGACCTGGTGAGCTAACACAAACACATATTGGACTTAAAAGTATAAAAATGTGATAAGATACCAGAGTGGGATGTGTGTTAGTATTTAGGCATTTTACTGGCCTGCCTTTGGAGTTCTGACAAGATATGCCCTCAGCTGTTGCCACTAACCATGTACCTATTTAATATGTTCCCTTTTAAAAGGGCCCTGCCCACCTCCCATCTTTCTTTCTCTCCCTCTCTGTCTGTTTCTCGGTGTATCTCTCTCTCTCTCTCTATCTCTCTCTCTCTCTCTCTCTCTCTCTTTCTCTCTCCTCTCTCTCTCTCTCTCTCTCCCTCTCTTTCCTTTTCCCACTGCTCCTGTACCCCAAGGCCAGTCTCCCCCACCCTTTCCTATTTTTATGATCTTTTTTCCTTAATATAAAAAAAACCTCTGATTGAACTCTGTTGCATGTTTCTTTCTTGAGCTGCTCTTTTAAAATTACAACAATGTGTGTGTAGGGGAGTGGCATTCATACAGAGAATCCTGAAGCATTTTAAATCCTAATTCTAAATTTGGTGAAGAGATAGATCAATTTCCTTCATTCATTAATTAAAAATGATTTTTAAAATGGGGGTACCCTGAGCCTGTGTGTACCCCTAGACACTCCCCTTATGCTGCCCTACAAGATCTCTATGCAGCCAGTTCAAGCTGTCTTTGCTAGCCATCCGCCATGGCGGATGGGTGAAAGACCCAAGCTAACATGGGGTTAGCTCATTAAACAACAATAAAGCCTCATGCAGTTTGCATCAATAAATAAATAAATAAATAAATATTAATTAATTAATTAAAATAAATAAATAAATAAAAATGGGGGTTACCCCAGTAGTAGAGCACATGCTTAGCATGTGTGAAGTTCTGGGTTCAATCCCAGCACCCTAATGAAGAAATACAGTATAAACAGATATAAACTCGTTTCCCATTTTCCATCAGATTGTGGCCTGTATTGGAGACAAGTGAAGTTGCAAGCAGTCTGATAGATGGAATACTTACCAACAAGAAAATGATCTTCGTCCCATCTTATATCAGTATTTCTTTAGTTCTGGAAAAGTAAGTACAGCGTAGAACCCTGAATGCTAAAACATAAATAGAAATGTTATTACAGACAGATTTCCAGATGTGAAGGTTGCTATGGAAACTCTCCATGCCTGGAGTGAAAATTAAGTTTCCTGTGTTACTGCTGCCTTACTGATTCAGGGATGGGGGTAAATGAGTCCTTGATTCCGTCTCCCATTATGGAATACAAACTTTGCTCAAGACTATTCAAACTAAAGGGAAGACAGCTTTAAAAGGACAAGTTATGGAGCATCCATCATAAAGGCTCTGTGTGTTCGTGTGTATGTGTGCAATATATATGCTGGTGCAGATGGAGGAAGGATTTTTTTCTTTTTTTCTTCCTTCCTTTCTTTTTTTCTCTCTCTTTCTTTCTTTCTTTTTTTTTTTTTTGAGACAAGGTCTTTTATTGAGACCTGTACTCACCAATTAGCCCAGAAACCATGTCTAGGAGCGAGCAGGGTTGTGCCAGGCTCCATATCCGCCAACACTGGGGTTACATGCCTACCACCATGGCCAGCTTTTTTATGTGGCTTCTGGGTTTAAACTCAGGTCCCCACGTTTGTGTGCCCACCTCCCCAGAGCCTCGGGAGCTCAGTTTTTGCAGTTCTTTGGGACAGTGTGCATCTTACCTGTCTCACAACCCACTTCCACGTGATTTTATATCACTTTGTTTACAATCCAAGAACCTTAGCATGGAGTCCTTTTTCTTTCCTTCCCAGGCTCATGAGCCCCAAAGATGACAAATTTCCTCCACACAGGTCTCATTAGAGTGGGAAAAGCCCCAACGGGACTAGGCATGTATATGACCATGATATAAATATGATTGATGGTTCTGCCTCAGTTGAAAGCAGTACCCCTGAACAAAGCCTTTGCCTCATTGTGGAGCTCTCAGTGTGGTTTGGTGCTCTGGCAACAGAGCTTTTCCTTGCCCTTTGCATTTAACTCCATTTAGACAGAGACAGTTTTGTGGTCTGGGCCAGGCGTTTAGAGGCCTGCAGAAGCTCTCTTCTTACCCTTGTCCTTCTCCCAGCAGAATCATCCTCACCTCTTCATTTCTTTCCCTATCTTCCCACCCTCTACCCAGGGGCTGACAGGGAAGTAAATCTTGCATTAGTAAATAATGACCACGTGATTTGAAATATGACTTTCTTTGTAGAAAGTGCTCGTTCTGCCTTCTTCGGTTCTCTCATGCTCTTCTTCCTTCACCTGGCAACTCAGGTTGACTAACCCACCCTCCAGCAAGCTTGAATATTCAGCCCATGTGAATCCTACACATTTTATCATAGACGGCTGATGTTTTTCAGCTGGCTGTGTCAGCGCTTGGCACAGCCATGTACTCAAAGGCAATAGCATTTTTAAAGGCTCTCTAGTTTTTCTTTTATAAAGTGATAGGTACCCTGAACGTAAGAGGAGGAAGGAAGGGTGTGTAATGGATTCTGGGTTCTTGGCACCAGAATTTACCGACCCCGAAGTGAACTTATAGCTTCAGTTTTAGACCATTGTTTATATAAGATCTCATGCAATTTTACTATTATGAAAGAGTGACAATATATTATAGATCAGTACAGATGGGGGTGGAGGGTGGGAGAAACTAAGGAAACAGAGAACGAAGGAAAACTAAATGAGGGTCAGGTAAGCTTCAGGGCACTTTTAAATTGGAAAAAAATGGAACACTAGTATCAAAATTTTAAATTGAAATTTCTTATTTTTTTTCTTAATGTAGGTTTCTTCCTGAACGTGCCTTAAAAGCCATAAGTCGTATACAGAATATTCAATTTGAAGCAATTGTGGGCCACAAAACCAAAATGAAGTAATGTATGTAGAGACATGTAATACGCCAATGACAGGAACCTAAGCTTAGAGTCTCGTTAAAGCTTTCTTTCACATGTTTAAAGTGCTATTGATGTTTAAAATGCAGTTTGGGTACCAGCAGTCATCTAATGAACAAGATTGACTAGCTGTCCTTCTGGTCCCCTGTGCTTATAGTGTTTGGTTATGGCAACGGGAATATAGTAAGATAATGTCTATTCAACAAAAGAGTAGAAAGATAATCAGTGTGTTTTTATTAAATAAATTAGTAAATATCAAAAGTAGGCAAAGGGATACAGTAATAAAGTCTTGGACAAATGCTGACAAATTGTAGTGGTTTCTGTTTTGATGGGGGGTTGGTAGTGATTTCAGTTCATTCTTGGCAGACAGGATAAAAACTGTCTTGTTTCTTTGCCATTAGAAAGGAATGTTTTGTTTTGTTTCACAATCTTCTTAGGGTGCTGTTTTTCTTACACCATGTGAATGAATAATGAAGAAATTTTATTTGCCTTACTTGGTGAAGCAAATATTTACACAGATTTACAACTGTGAAACCTCAACATCTTGCTCTTTACTTAGAAAGACCTTGAACACATTTTGTTTTTCTTTTTACTCTATTAGGCAATCACTAAAAAACATTCAACCATATACATATTAACAGCAACACAATCTCCCCAAGCAAATCCATTATGAAGTTCAAACCCTTCCTGTTTTTTTTGTTTGTTGGTTGTCTGATTTGGCTTTTGTACTTTGCTGCAGGGGACTGAACCTACAGACTTGCTGGGGCTAAGCACTCTGCCCTGGCCTCCTGTCCATGAATTTCAGCATTATTTTCACATTTTGTTTTAGGCCTTTTTAACTGAAGCTCAGCAGGATGCCTGGGAACATGGTCATGATCTCTCTTGCCCTCTTCTGCACATTTTGAGTGTAGACATCTTACAAGTACCAGTTGCATTTCTAAATATTTTTCTATAATGACCTGCCAACGTTGCAGCCCCTTAGACAACCACAAGGGTGCGTAGATCCCCAAGAAAGACTCCATCCATTTACTTAGAGATATGCCATAGAACCCTTAGGTCCCTACACACACAATATTGTGATTTACTGATGAGTATTTAGGAATAGTGTGGCTACCTGCTTATTGTCCACTCAGTTCATGTAAACATCCTTTTGGTAACCAGGTAGCATCTCCTCTTCTCTGGTCCTGAGTCATTATTTTCCTTATTATCAAAAAAAAAAAAAAACATTTTTGGCCAGTCTCATACTTTTTGCCACATGAAATGGTAGCTATTCCTTCCAGCAGTGTAGGTCTTTGAGATTTGTATTGAATCTTGTGGTGATATCTTGCTTGTACAAATAAAGCCTGTCTGGGGATCAGAGAATGGAGCTTGCCACTAGCTAACCATAGAGGTCTGGAGGTCTGGAAGTCCATACAGATAGACAGGAAGTGAGATAGCTGGCTAGAAACAGGATATAAGCAGGGAGAAACAGAAAATTGCTCTCTTTCTGCTGAGACGCTGAGGAGGTAAGTTGTGCTGTGGCTTGCTTCTGCTCTCTGATCTCTCAGCATTTCCCTCTATATCTGACTCCAGGTTTTTATTTTCTAGACCAATTAAGAACTCCATTTACATACAAGCAAGATATCATCACAGAATCCTCTGTCTGTAATTCCTTACTTAATATTGATTTCATCTTTACCTTGTAAATTGAATCATACGATATTCTTTGTGAGTTTTGGAGCTTCCCCTTTCTCAAGGATTATTACTAACTTTATTTTTTATGGTAACCACAAATTAAGCATGTATGTAGAGTGCTTCATGAATGATGGATTTGATTTAGGATTATATTATTATTGAAAATCTTATAGCACAACATAAAATAATTATCTTCCCATTATGTATTGTCTTGAACTCTTTGGACTTTAATCATTGTGTTTATAAAATAATTGATTTCCAGCTGTCTATCTGTCTCTGTAGTTGTCTTTCTGTATCTGTCTCTATGTGTATGTACTGTATATGTGTATATTGTGTGTGTGTGTGTGTGTGTGTGTGTGTGTGTGTGTGTTGTGTGTTTCTTTCTTTTGTAACAAGAGCTCATGTAGCCCAGGCTGGCCCCAAGCTCTCTAATATCCAAGGATGACCTTGAACTTCTGACCTTATAGCCTCTACTTTCTCAGTGCTGGGGTTACAGGTATGTGTCACTATACTGGGCTTATATAGCTCTTCTCTTTCATGTTAACTGATTCCTGCCTCCCATATAGCATCTCCAGAGAAGGGGGTAATAGGTAGAACAAAATGGGCAGTTCTGTTTGTGCAGGGGACATCTGTCTCCTCCTGTCTTGATCTCTCAGGGGACCCGAATTCAATTCCCAGCACCCACATAGAGGTTCACAACAGTCTGTAACTCCAATTCCAGGGGATTTGACACCCTCTTCTGGCCTTATCAGACACCAAGCACTCATGGGTTACCCATACTTCATACAGGCAAACACCCATATTTTTTTCCTTAATTCCTTATTATTTATTCTCCTCTTACAAAAGACACTGGACAAATAAATATAAAATGGTACATGTCATATTTAGAAATGGCGACACATTCCCTTGGCACTCCTCACCCGGAACACACTAATAAAATCCTCAGAAGCACACTCATCTTTCCCGCCACCCACTTCTTTCTTTCTGTTTCTTTTTTTTTAAAGGTAAATTCTCTTAATTCTCCACAATTTTTAACAATGAATTATCAAAATAAGTAATCTAACACTTACTCAGAGACAAAGACATTTAAATGAAAAGTTTTAAAAATACATGTGTGTACAAATACACACAATATGATGTTGCCCAGAAACTGGAACTAATGAATAATACAAGATTAATTTCCTAGGTGACAGGTCACAACTCTTCAGAAGCGCAAATAAACACCAGAAAGCCAGCCCAACGCCCAGCCAGTACAGTCCATCAGCATGCAGTCAGAATCCTATGAAAGTCACAAGGCATCGGGACTCAGTGATGGAATTTACAATTTAGCCTCTTCGCAGTAGAAGACGATGCTTCATGATGGATGCAGATCATGCCCCCCTCCTGAGACACATACACATCACTGCTGCTGAGGTCACAATTTGGGATCATTTAGGAATCCAAATTTTGCTACAGAGCATACACCTCCAGTAGGAATTTGAGGACAGACAACATAAATGAGAGTTGAGTGGAACCTGCCTGTAACACTCTTTTTCCTTTAAGGCCACAGAAAATCTGAGCATAAGCAAGGAAATTAATTCTCATAATAAAAATATCCCTACAAACAGCCAAGATGTCCACGCAGGCTCTACATGGAGAGTAGGCTGTACCACATTCTATTCCAAGGATGTGCTTTGTGAGTCCCCAGGGCTAGATTCAACCCTTTCTGGAAATACTAACTTCTCACAAACTGCCTCCTTGATTGGTAAATATTGAGAGATTTCGTTAGGTTTCATGAAGAGGGAAGGTGGAACGTGCATTAAATTAGCAATTTTGCTCTTTCATGATGCATATTCTCGAAACATGTAGGTCTTGTCAGCCTCATGGTAAAGCCTTGTGTCATTCATTCTGATAAGCACACCATCAATTCTCAAGAAAAACCTCAATAGCAGAAAAAAAGCTGGAAGGCATTACTCTAATTTTCACACTCAGGCTAGAAACTCCATGATCATATAATTCATCTTCAAACAGGAGAACTTCTTCAAAAAATGTAATCTGTTCTCTGGCTTTCAATTTCTCTGTATCTATATGATCTGTTGTAGGTACAACCTTTAACTTAAGAGATTCTCCAAGTAACGGTCCTTTATAATCTGTTGTATAGGTCCAATCATACGGTTTAAGAACTTTGGAGTGTTCACCCTCCGTTCTACTTTCCTGCCACTCTTCAGCACAAGCTACCTTAAGCATCCCTTGGTAGTTGTTTACACATCTTAGTGCATCTGTAGCATTGAACTCAATTCCAAAGCCCAGAGCCATGCTGGATCCTTAGAATGTTGTCTCCAAACATCATTTCAGGGAGGGAAGGCATATGCATTTCATCAGCTAACTTCTCCACATCTGCAGATTTCATGATGTGGGTCTTGGCCGCTGTCAGTTTCCAAGACCCGAAGGAGAAGTCCTGGTAGCTGCTCTGGAAGCCGTAGATCATCATGGCAGAGGTGGACCACAGGACCACTCGGAGCAAGTGCCGGCGGCAGTGGTCACAGAGCCGCCCTCTCTGAAACGCGGCTCCCGGGTTTGAAACACCCATATTTTTAAATGAGTTGATAGTACTGAGGCTTTAAGCCAGTATGTGATTTTTTAACAGCAATAGAGTATTTGTATATAATGTCAGAATGATGCATGCTATCATTCTGACTGAATAAACACCAAGTAGATTTCACTTCATCTCACTTCATCTCCTTCTTTCAAAAGTACATACAATACTTAAGAAATAAAAATATTTTTTTCTCTTTTAAACATAAAGCATATGAGACAGTTGTATCCTTTCAGATAAAAATGTTTTCTCTGGCTTTCAAGTTGGCTTGGTGAGCAAAGACACTTGCTGTAGAGCCTGACAACCTGAGTACAACCTCCAGAACCCACATAGTGGAAGGACAAATGGGACTCAGGCAAACTGTCCTCTGATCATATAACCCATGCTTTGGCATGTGAGCATCCATACACATAAATATACATACACACACATACACACATGTATGTATGATTTTTTGTTTGTTTTTTGAGACAGGGTTTCTTTGGGCAACAGCCTAGCTGTTCTGGAACTCACTCTGTAGACCAGGTTGGCCTTAAACTCAGAGATCCACCTGCTTCTGCCTCCCAAGTGCTGAGATTAAAGGCATGTGACTCCACTTCCTGGCTGTATGTGTGAAATTTTAAGGAAATATCTATAGCCCTATGATGGGCACTATCTAAACATGTAATTCAAATTGGTTTTGAGACAGAATCTCAAAATATCTAGGACCCCAAGTGTTGAATTATAGGTGTGTGCCACAGCACTCAGCTGAAAATTTAAATAATTATAAATCTTTTTGTAAACGTTTGAAGTTCTCTGGGGGGAATATTTATGCCCACGGATACTTTTTTCTCCATAAGAAAACATTCCTACATGTTGATTGATTCCCCAAAAGGCTGAAGTCTAAAAGATAAGATCCCCAATGACGAATGTGTGCTTAATTTTGGTTTTCACTTGGCTGGACTTGGGAGGAAGAGCAGGAGGAGGGTGGACAGAGAGGCCAGGTGGTCATTTCTGGTGCCTTTGTTTCTCTGCTGCCAACTGAGAATCTGAG